TGACAAAGTGAAGCATTAAGCAGCTAAAAAAGCACCTAAAAAAAATAAGAGTTCTTGTATAACTGTGTCTGATGAGGAAACATTTAAAGCTATTAAAGAATTTTGAGGTTAACGTGTTTAATAAGATATTGGGGGAAATTAGTATTTCTGAATTGCATTCGTATTGAAAAATGTTATTTGCTTTTTTACATTTTTTTGTCTTTTTTTAAACAAAATCCTCGTGAGCAGGAATAAAATACAGCCAACACAGCTGAACTGCTTTTTCTCTGTGGTGAACACTTCGAGCAGCATCTTTAAAAATGAATCATAACCTGAACAGACACAGACGTACATCCTCAGGTAGACGGAATGACGTGGCGCTGCGGAGGACCGACTGACGGACGGATTCAGTTCAAGTCTTTTTAATTTAACTCAAGCACATGATGCCTTTGACGAGAGTCAAATTGAAATGGCTGTGGCAAATGGAGGCTAATTGTGCTCGTGATTCACCCGAGCAGATAACGCTTATCAGGGAATCTCATCACCATCTCCGTTTTGACGGTTTGATTAGATTACCGCAGGCTGCCTGGGGCGGGTTTGATTCTATCTGTTTTTTTAGGGATCGCATTGGCTCATGTCTCACAGCTGTTTGAACCCTTGTTCCTTTGTCACTCTGTCTGTTTTCTTGACTGGCAGATTTTCTTCATCTCCTGTCAACATATTGGTCGGATAGCTTTTATAAACTTTGCTAACATATATCCTCTTTATCTCCTTCTTTATCTGTTTACATGTCAGGCCTTTGAGCGGTCGGAGAGCTCTGAGGTCGCCTTCGTCACAGAGTTGGTGAAAAAGCTTCTCATCATCATCTCCCGACCCGCGAGGCTTTTGGAGTGTCTGGTAAGATCATCGTTTCCGGTGTTTACCCACAATTGTGCTGCGATGATCACAATCCTCCTCCAGCCCCACTATTCATCACAGAAGATTTCTCAGCTCTTGTGACTTAAGGCAAATGGATTTCCTGTAAATAAACATGAGCCCAGAGTCTCATTTGTTAGCCCATTATAAGCATTTAAGCGGGTTGATGTGTTACACAGCAGGGGGTGGTAGAAAATCAAAACAAGCAAACAGACAAGAGTCGGTCCAGTCTGTCTGCACGGCCGAGACATTTGCATTTAGATGAAAATTTACCGTGCCACAGTATGACTTATACCAGGCCACGGCCCCCCCGCTGCTCAGCTGCCTTCCAGTCAGAGGATGAGTGTGTTCGTCTGTGTGTGTTTGTCCACGAAGCCCAGTGTGGCTGCGTTTCGTAACAGGGTATCAGTCGCGCGCCCTGCGTGAGTCACGCCACGCCGCCGTGGCTTCTGATTATGAGTGACAGCCGAAACACGGAGGATTGATTCATCGATCTAAATTCAGTCTGCATACGGTTGAATTACAATGTGGGAGGTTCACTGCATGTTCTTGGCAGCAGCAGGAGTTGCACATGAGGTACGATGGCAATTAGTGGGGATCATATAAAATTATTCTTGATATTGGATTTTATATCTGATATGCAATTTCGGCTTATAGCTGATGCTGATACATATATTTCCCACCTAATTGCAGAGGACATTAGGTCTCTCCTGCAGTGGAATTAAAGTGTTATTATGCCTCCTCCTGGTGCGATGGCCCACTGGCAGGTGTCGACATAAATACGCTCTGTCATAGCTGATGGCTTTTATGGACCCGAATGCACAACACAATGTCATCAGCGCGGCTCTATTGTAAAACAGCTTTTGTGATGGAGAGGGAAACCGGGGGCAGGGAATCCAGAGATGAGGAGGCTGTTGCCGTTGAATGGCTGCCATGGGAATCCTGAAGTGTGTGGCGCCTGATAGCTGGCGGCTGGTTGCAGGTTGATAGCGGGGGAGCGAGCTGGCGGAGGACGCTGGAACCAGAGGCACGAAGAAGTTAAAGCTTAGACTGGGAGCAAACACAATGCTACTAATAGAGTCGGGCCAACAATGCAGAGGGATGGAGTGACGAGGTTTGAGTGCCTAAATGGGGATTTATTGTCCGTTTGAGGAAGTCAGGTCCCCACGGTGCGATTGTGTAAACAGATGTAGGTCCCCTTAAAGCATGAGTAATACAAACACATAGAAAAATAGGTGATAAGCAAGAGACAAAAGGGAGAAAGAGGAAACAGTAGAAACACCAGGAATAGCAGGAATGGCTCAGGTGGGAGAGCGGGTTGTTGATCCCCGCCCCTCCACAGTCGAAGTGTCCTTGGGCAAGACGCTGAACCCGAAGTTGCTCCCAATGGCAGGCAGCACCTTGCATGGCAGCTCTGTCGCCATTGGTGTATGAATGGGTGAATGAGAAACACATTGTAAAGCGCTTTGAGTGCCGCTAAGGTAGAAAAGCGCCATGTAAGTGCAATCCATTTACTCTAAATATACTTATTCATGTACTCAAAACATATCATCATATATATTTTTCACCATTACCACCAATTCTAGGTGCTCATTTTAGGCTGAATCTTCTTTTTTTTAATGCCTTTATCAGCCGATACCAGTAACGATGCTGTCATCATGGTGCATCCCTACTTCTCCCACAAACATAACTGATGCCAAACATTTCCAAACCATGGCACATATATATATAAACTCATACCTCACGTACCCCCTCTTACTACCTGATGACTTCATGTCTCCAGGAGTTCAACCCTGAGGAGTTCTACCACCTGCTGGAGGCGGCCGAGGACCACGCCAAGGAGGGTCATCTGATGAAAACAGACATTCCTCGATACATCATCAGCCAGCTGGGACTGACCAGAGACCCGATCGAAGGTGAGGGAGAGACAGAAAGAAACTCTATGATAGAATAAAATTACAGTCAGATGATTTAACCGAGACAAATGTTTGTCCCCAGAAATGGTGAACCTCGACAGCTACGACAGCGAGGGACCAGTAACGCCCGAAACCGATGACTCAACAGAGGTGAGATCCCAAACGTTACCTCACTCTGGCCGTTTTTCTTCAGCGCTCAGTGCTTTTCTTGCTCTCTCAGACGGTATAAATTGTGACCTGCCAGGCTAGTTGTTGCTCTCAGTGAAAATGTCTGCTTCATCTGCTAATGACTTGGCATACATGCTTTTATCCATCTAATTTATGCTGAGCCTCTGAAAACAGGATATCCCTCTCCTTGAAGCGCAGGGCCATCCCTTTAGCATTAGGCACCACTCCAACTGTCAAAATTAAGCTAAGTAGGCAAAAAAGAAAATTAAGGAGGAGGAAGGAGGGAACAGGCTCGAATTAAGGGAGCTTTTTAGAAATCTATACGACTAATTGAATGTGAATCACCAAAGATAAAGTTAAGAGGTGGTTTTTAACATGTAACATTTTAAGCAGACGTAGGTTTACGTCTGAAATCACGTTTAATCACTGCAGTGTGATCTTTGATCCACAGGGTAAGATGAGAGCGATGAAACCACCAGGGGAGGCAGATTTTCAGACTATCAAGCTCATCAGTAATGGAGCGTATGGGTGAGTCTTCATGTGTTTACATACAAGTGATTTCTTTTTAAATTTGTTGCTCAGGCACGGACACAAATGTTCTACAAGCAACACAAAATAACGCCCGTATGTGTGTTTCTGTGTGAACCAGCGCCGTGTACTTGGTGCGTCATCTGGAGACACGCCAGCGATTTGCCATGAAGAAGATTAACAAGCAAAACTTGATCCTGAGGAACCAAATCCAGCAGGCCTTTGTGGAAAGAGATATCCTCACCTTCGCGGAGAACCCCTTTGTCGTCTCCATGTTCTGCTCCTTCGAAACCCGTCGGCACCTCTGCATGGTCATGGAGTACGTAGAAGGTGAGGATGTCGAGATGGAGATGCGTAGGTGCACTGGAGCAGCATGCTGGTGGGGAAAATGGTTTTTAGCAAAGTGTTCTGTCCACAACTGTACTTCCACTCATTCTTTATAAACAATCTTAACTGTTGCACATTTGAATATGAATTTGCAAGATATAAATAACACAGAAATAAACCAAATTTATGCTACGTAGACTAGTGATGCACGATATTAAAATTTCTGGCCGATGCCGATATCCGATGTTAAGATTTCTGATATCGCCGATAACCGATATTACAGATGTCGATATTACATTTTTGCTCACACCCAAAAATGAGTATCAGTAAGTACTGTGAGAAAACTATTCAAAAGAAGCCAAATTAGACCGCACAGTCTTCTTTGTTACATAACAAAAGTAAAACATATTTTAACATATTTAAGTCCAGGATTTAAATAAAAACATCTGTGAAATAGCAGCATGAAATGTGGAGACGAAGGCGCTGATGTTAGACAGTCATCGACTAAATTTGTTCATCGGACCGATACCGATATATCGGAAAAAACACTGATATCGGTCGATTCTGATGTGGTCGCCGATATATCATGCATCCCTACTACATACTGATTTAAAGTTGCACATATAAGACGAAATTTTAATTAATTTGTTGTTTTAAATAAAGCCCTCCTCTTGCAGTGTTTCCCCTTCTCCTTCTCTGTTCTTAAAATAATAATCAATTTAATCCATTTTCATTTCATCTTATTCTCATTTTGGTCTATTTATAAGCTCTCATCTGATCAGCTCTGTGTTTGGCAAAATTTTTTAAAGTCTGAAATTGACGGTACAATGTTGTGCGTACATCTAGTTTCTTCTCATATCACTTGAATTACAACATGCTGAAAAGTTCGTGTAGAATTTTCAGCCTAATGATGAAAAAAAAAAAAGTACTGCCTACCCCAGTTTTAAGCCTGTTTGAAGACACACTGTGTGTATTTAGCTGAGAATATAAAGATCTTTTGCAAATTTCATGGCAATGCACCCAATATTTGTTGAGACATTTCACATAAAACCACAGATGTGATCACGGTGCTGGAGGGAAAATCAGAGGCTCAGCAAAGTCAGTATATTTCAGCCTCCGTATAAATAATGTTATTGATATTTGAGTCTGGAGTGTTCGACTGATAAAACCCTTCCTAGAGCAAAAACCTAATAATACTGCTTCTTATTACTGGCCTACCCGAGAGTTTACTTAGTGATCTGAGCCTTGACATGGGCTGCTCATGAGTTCTTCTATTTTCAGTCCAGTTGGTCAGATGAGCCAATAAATTCCCAGCGAGATCAGAATGCAATACTGAAGAGCCAGATAGCCTTGAATGTACTTACTCAGGATGACGCAAAACGGAGTCATCGTGCTCCACGGAATTGCACTCACCAAGATTTCTTGATTGCATCCTGTCGTGCATGTTGCTCATTGGCCCTAAATGGAAACTAAAATAGTCGAGGACGAGAGGTACCGGGGAGACGCTCGTGGTAATTGCCGATGTCAGCGGCAGGATTAATCAAATCATGAATTGTGCTGGCAGGTGGGGACTGTGCCACTCTGCTGAAGAACATCGGGGCTCTGCCGGTGGAAATGGCTCGCATGTACTTTGCAGAAACAGTCCTCGCGCTGGAGTACTTGCACAATTACGGCATCGTGCACCGGGACCTGAAGCCTGACAAGTAAGACAGGTTTAGTTTACCCTGCAAAGAGATGATGCAAACACTATTTTATTTGCTGTTTTAAATGAATGAATAAAGCGTTTTAACTCTTCCCTGTCTGCCCACAGCCTCCTGATTACCTCGATGGGCCACATCAAGCTGACGGACTTCGGCCTGTCTAAGATGGGTCTGATGAGTCTGACCACCAACTTGTATGAGGGACACATAGAGAAGGACACTCGGGAGTTTTTGGATAAACAGGTGTGGCACACAAATGAGATTACAGCATTCTTAAATCCAAGTGGAAGAAACTCCTAGAATCAGTTTATTGAAGCCACTCTAACATCTTAATGAAAATAAGTATTCAGTGGATTTAAATTAATTCAAATTAACACTGAAATATGCAATTAAACTCTCACTTGGGTCTTTTTTTTTTTTAAATACACTACGATCCAAGCTAAGTTTCACTACCAAATGCCCTTTGATGTCTTCATTTTCTATGCAAAGAGATTCCCCGCCATTGTGCGGCGGGCAAAACGAGACCGTTAACAGTTGGCAGAACAATAGGCCAGTGTTTCCTCAGTTATTATAATCATTTCTCTTTTAGGTAAGGCTTATTCTTTTGCAGCCTTTCATTCGGCGCTTTGAGTCTCGGCCTCATTATTTCTTGTGTGCGTACATCGCGGCAGCCAGGAATCTGTTAGCATTCAGCGCATGCCCATCTGCACATGAAAACGCTCACCGGGGGCTTTGATGTTTTTCTTGGCATCTCGGGGTCGGACTTAGATACGCATGCTCCATGCATCTCGCTCAGGGTTTCTCACTTGGTATAATTTTAAATGATGAACACAGTTAATTCAGAACAGGCATGAGTGTTATTAGTTGTAACCGAGGTAGGGCTGCAAGTTATTCACAGAAACGCCAATCAAGTGTGGCTTTTCTTCAAGGTGTACGGAACTCCTGAGTACATCGCCCCGGAGGTTATTCTCCGTCAGGGCTATGGGAAGCCGGTGGACTGGTGGGCGATGGGCATCATCCTGTATGAGTTCCTGGTGGGCTGCGTGCCGTTCTTTGGAGACACGCCGGAGGAGCTGTTCGGACAAGTCATCACAGGTGAGCGATCAAAGGCTCCAACTGGAACGTTGCTCAACCAGATTTCTTGTCTTCCACACAATATTCTGACTTTTTCCTCATGCCCTCCTCCCTCCTCTCCCTCTGCTCTGTCTGCTAGACGACATCGTGTGGCCTGAAGGGGATGAAGCTCTTCCAGTCGATGCCCAACACCTTATTTCCTCCCTGCTGCAGACTAATTCGCTGGTTCGACTGGGCACAGGTGAGTCACCGAGAGGAGGCGGTTTGAAATGCTTCCAAATCCCATTAACATGTCCCATAGGCATTCACTTCAATTAAATTCAAACTGGAGGTTATTTCATAGCACAGATTGTAAGCGTTAATACTTAATTTGTACACCTTCCACCTATTTATTTATTAAAATGGCTGAAAAAGGCTAAAAATAATCATAATAGTCATACTAATAGTAAATAATGATGTAAATATGTAGATAGGTCAATAAATAAATGGTAAAAGAGAATTAAATGAACAAGTTAGACAATTAGATGATAAAAAATACAATAAATAATACCATAAAAGTCATGTTTTTTCTACTTTTATTACCTTTACCAGGTCATATGTACAAACTTTTAAGTAAATGTTTACATGTGGTGGAGTATTTTTACACTGTGGTGTTCGTACTTTCACCCAAGTTAACGTTCTGAATACTTCCTCCACCACTGGAAGCGCCCCTCGGGTCCACATACGCTGACCTAGAACACTGACTGTCGTCCTGCATGTTGGCGTACGGGTTCAGTTTACCCAAATAAGTCAGCTTCTGTCATGGCTGAAATGCCTCCACGTCCTTCAGGGCTGCACTTATTACCTGTCTGTCTTCCCTCTCGCTGCTTCTCTATAAATACACCCGCCTCCTTTCCTCTCCTCTCCTTTCCTCTGCCCTCAAGGTGGTGCTTTTGAAGTGAAGCAGCACTCGTTCTTCACAGAGGTGGACTGGAACAGCCTGCTGAGACAGAAGGCAGAGTTCATCCCTCACCTTGAGTCAGAGGAAGACACCAGTTATTTTGACAGTAGGTTTACCCCCTGGGAGCGCGGGGCGCCGTGGGAAACTTTGGTTCTGGCCTCGGAACCGCAGAGCTCTCGCAGCTTGGGAACTTCTTAGTCATCAAAACAGCTCTTCTGAATCATCCCCTCTCTCCACCACCAGCCTCGTTAAGGCACTCCTGTTATTAGGAGGCCTACTCGAGATGCAGAAAAGTGTTTATCAGTGTAGTTTTTAGACTTGAATGTGTCGCAGTTTGTTCAGATTATGTCTCGTGGAATCTGAGCTGATGCCTTTAGCCTGGAATGTGTGTTAGCATGAGCAGAAAAAAAGCACAGTGTTCATTCTGATTTGATGTCTCGCTGCTTGTCATCTCCAGCTCGCTCTGAGCGCTACCATCACGTGCACTCCTATGATGAAGACGATACCAATGACGACGAGCCCGTGGAGATTCATCGCTTCTCGTCCTGCTCTCCTCGCTTTAGCAAGGTCAGGACCCTCAAATTTATGTCCAATTTTCCCTCCTAAAAAAGCACAATCATTGCCCAAAAAATGCTAACTGCAGTGTTGTGTGGATGCTAAAGGTGTACAGCAGTATGGAGCATCTGTCCCAGCTGGAGCATAAACCCCACACAGTGACTCTACGGGAGCACAAAGTCCCCAGAGAGGATCGAATGGCCAAGAGAGAGAGCCTGGGAAGTGTCACCCTGAGAGACAAGAGCTGGAGGACGGGCTCACCTGAGATGTGAGTGCAGAGGACGGAGCTGTTCATGCGTGGAGACGGTTTCGGTGTATTTTTATCAACTGCTTGTGAGCAGTGTCACGGAAAGAAAAATATTTGAAAGTGTGACTGCTTTGCTTTTTTTCAGGAAGCGCTTGTCCTGCTCTGAGTCCTCCTTCACTGAGAGCGACTCGAGCCCGCCGTCCGGAGCCCGACGACGCTTCTCCGCCCTCATGGACACGTACCGCCTGGCCTCCCCTCTGGAGCTGGACTCTGAGCTGCCTGTTCCAAGCAAACAACCTCCGGTGAAGGCAAGAGGGACTTCCCTGGAAGGAGCAATGGGCGCCATCTCATCTCAGGGCGATCTGAGATGCTTCCTTAAAGACAGTAACGGCTTCACAGCTGGAGGTAAGAAAGGATTCAGCACTGAACAAACCCTTATTAGATTTAAACAGATGAGAGGAGCATCTGTTGACTGTTGGCTTTCATGTCTCTGCCAGACAAAGTTTTGAGACCTGCTGATGCATCACTGCCGCTGCCCATCAGTGCGACCATTCTGGGCCTTCCAGACCCACTGGGGTCCCGCGGGGCCACAACAGACCTGGTGCTCCGGAGAGTTCGCCACCAGCAGCTCTCAGCCGAGGGAGAAAAACGGAACTCACGACCAGGAACCAAAGTTATCAAATCTGCCTCTGCTACTGCTCTGTCCGTCATCATCCCTGCAGGTAAGCGTATATATGGGGTCTCTGGTTTGGCAGCACCTGAGTGTACATGGTTAAATACTAAAGATCACAGAATTTTGTGAATAAGCAAAACACAATAAATAAGTAAGGCAATAGTTGGACTTTTTTCCGAGTTTATGGCATGAGTCTGAGAACAGCACAGTGTGGGTGAAAGTTAGTCGTTGAGGAGTTGGAGGTGTGAAAAGCAACAGTTTCCTATTTTTGTTTAACAATAGTGGCAACAAACAACTACTTTATAATACAAATCAAGTTGCGTCTCAGCAGCTGAACACTTCCAGTGTGAAGCTGCAGCAGTAGGAAATGTTTGCTTTGCATTAGCAGTAACTTAATAGTTCCTTAACATTTAATCCCGTCGTGTAACTTTACCTCCACGGCTCTCTCCCCAGTGGAGCAGCATGGCGCCTCCCCTCTAGCGAGCCCCATGTCTCCTCGCTCCCTCTCGTCCAACCCCTCCTCTCGTGACTCCTCCCCGAGCCGGGACTACTCGCCCATGGTCAACATCCTGCATTCTCCAATCACCATCCACCGCTCGGGGAAGAAGTATGGTTTCACCCTGCGAGCCATCAGAGTCTACATGGGAGACAGCGACGTGTACAGCGTGCACCACATGGTCTGGGTGAGTGAGCAGTGCGAATGGCATGCAGAGATCGTAATGACTGTCTTCTGCACACTGAAGAAGAAATACATTTACTATTGATTTATTTACCACCTTTCATACATACAATGCAGCTCTAACTGCTTCCTATCAATTTATACACAAATTTAAAACTCAAATCTGACTGACGTACTGAAGACTTTTGCCTCAGATTGAGTTAAAGTTGATTTATTTTTTGAACCAGCATAGTAACCTATTGTTCAGCTTCTCCCATTTCATTTCAAATAATTACTGTACAATCAAAATTTTAAATTTTTAGGACAGCGTGCTAAACACTTTGGAGTTATTGAGGGCTAGCGATGCACAATTGTGTGTCATCTGAATAGCTATTTAATTTGACTTCATGTTGTTGCAAAATATGGCTGAAAATGAAAAGTGGTGTGGTCCATGTATAGAACCTTGGGGAACACCACACGCTGTGTAATGGGTTTTAGAAATGGTTTGTCTGAGTGGCAGAATCTGTTACATGAAATCTTCTGTTGTGCTTGCAGCATGTGGAGGATGGAGGTCCCGCCCAGGACGCCGGACTCAGTGCAGGTGACCTTATCACTCACGTAAACGGGGAGTCAGTTCATGGTCTGGTCCATACTGAGGTAGTGGAGCTAATCCTTAAGGTGAGTGAGATCTGTCTGAAATTTAAAAATTTAAATGTGTCTCTAAAACTTTGCCTCAGAAATAATATGATTCATATAAATTCATGTCTATATATATATATATCATCTTCAGAGTGGAAACAAGGTGACAGTTACGACTACTCCCTTTGAGAACACCTCCATAAAAGTTGGTCCAGCCCGCAAGTCCAGCTATAAATCCAAGATGGCCCGACGCAGCAAGAGGACCGGAGCCAAGGAAGGACAAGAGTGCGTTGCTGCAAAATAGATGCTTTTTATTACACAAACACTTTCTCCTTTTATGAAATCCCTTCCTTCGTCTCACCTTATAATTTATTTTTATCTTTCAGTAAGAAGCGCAGCTCCCTCTTCCGGAAAATCACCAAGCAGTCCAACCTGCTGCACACCAGCCGGAGCCTCTCCTCTTTAAATCGCTCCCTATCTTCTGGAGACAGTCTGCCTGGTTCCCCCACCCACAGCCTGTCCGCCCGCTCACCCACTCAGAGCTACCGCTCCACTCTGGAATCCCCTTATCTGGGTCAGTATGAAAGGCTGCGAATACATGTGCCTGTTATTAGCAAGTTGGGCCTAAAACATAATGAATACATGAAAGCAAAAGCACACAGTTGGTGCATTAAAGGCTTTGATTTTGTATGTTTTCATTTCTAAAGAGTAAATCAAAGGCATTCTGTGGAGAAGCACCGCTATGGGTTTGGCCGCCTCATTGGGCTGAGAGCAGTGTTTAATATAATAGGCAAACAAATTTTGCCAGAGCCTGGCTAATGCTGCTGATTAGAATGTTTCAGAAAGTCCAAAAAACAATCCATGTTTGATGCACATATTTTATTTGGTGAGTAAAAATGGTTAGAAATGGTTGCCTTCGAGTTCTCTTCTACATAACTGGAGCAAGTGAAAAAGCTGCATCCATCCATCCATCATCTATACACCGTTTAATCCTCACTAGCGTCATGGGGGGGCTGGAGTCTATCCCAGCTGACTCAGGGTGAAGGCAGGTTCACCTGGACAGGTAACCAGTCTATCACAGGGCTACACTTAGAGACAGACAACCAAGCACACTCACATTCACACCTACGGACAATTTAGGATCAACAATTAACCTCAGCATGTTTTTGGACTGTGTGGGAGGAAGCCGGAGAACCCGGAGAGAACCCACGCTGCACGGGGAGAACATGCAAAGTCTAAACAGAAAGATCCCGGGTGTCCTCACCAGGAACGCGAACCGGTGACCTTCTAGCTGCGAGGCAACGATGCTAACCACCGCGCCACAGCAAAAAAGCTGCATGACTTTTGTAAATATTTGAAAAGTGGAAAAAACTAAAGATTAGAGTAGCGTGAATGCTCTGTAAGCATTTCCATTTATTTATATATATACAGAGCAACAAATCACAACACATCATCTCAGAGCATTCAGTTAAAACTTTACAATATTAGAAGGAGAAACCCAACAATTTCCCTTTGAGCAACACTTGGTGAGAAAATTGTAAGAAATTGAATTCCCAGCAGCACAGACAGACATGTTTTTTTTCCCTGACAATAAAAGAAAAATCAAATTTCCTCTTCTCTCCTCAGGCACCTCATCTCAGAGCAGCTCCCCAGCATCCAGCACTCCCAACTCGCCCGCAGCCTCCCACCACATGAGGCCCAGCTCCCTGCACGGCCTGTCTCCCAAACTTCACCGCCAGTACCGCTCCGCTCGCTGCAAATCTGCCGGCAACATCCCCCTGTCCCCCCTGGCTCACACCCCGTCCCCGACCACCTCCTCTCCACCGCCGCTCACCGGCCACACCGTGGGGAGCTCCAACACAACGCAGATGTTCCCCGCCAAGCTGCACTCCTCGCCTCCTGTCGCCCGGCCCCGACCCAAGAGCGCCGAGCCGCCCAGGTCCCCCCTGCTCCAGCGGGTGCAATCCGCGGAGAAGTTAGGAGCACCGATTTTGCCTTCCTCCTCCTCCTCGTCATCGTCGCCTTCTCCTCTCACGGGAGGGGTGTCGTTGCGTAAGCATAGCCTGGAGGTGACGCACGGGGACTACAGGAGAGAGTCCTTCCACTGCGAGCACAGTCTGCAAAGCCTGCTGGAGATGGAAGGAGAGAACGGACCTGCTCCCCCGTCTCCCTCGTCGTCCTCCTCCCCCTCTCCGCCGATGGGAGGCGAGATCGGAGGCCTGAAGCCCGTGAGGAGGCTGGGAAGGCAGGAGTCGCCGCTCAGCCGTGACACACTTCTAACAACAAGAGAGAAAGATACACAAACCACAGAGCTCGCTGGGTCGCAAACTGAGAGCACCGCTCCGAAAGCGGAGTCCAAAACCGGTGCTGTCGACACGAGTAAAACGTTATCTACTGCTGAGGTTGTGAGGAGCAGCGCAAAAGCAGTTGACATCAAGTCTAGTGCCTCGTCCACAGAAACCAAGCCCAGTCCTGTGACCAAACCTCAAAATGTAACCACCTCAAGTTCAGAAGCAGCCAAGAGCAAACCCAGCGAGAAAGTCTCCACTCCAGGCACAACAAAGGGACAGAAGGATGCTAAGCAGCAGAGCGCACAAACAGACAGCGGGCCTGCCACTAAAGCTCAGGAGAAGCCTGAGGAGAAAGGGAAAGCTGCCGCAGACAAAGGTAACCTGCAGAAAGCAGCAGCTGCAGAGCAGCCCAAGCAACGTAAAGGCGCAGAGGGAGCAGAGAGAGGAGGCGTAGGTGGCGGTGATAAAGCAGCTGACACAACCAAGATTAAAGGACCTGCACCCCCGGTTCCCAGCCAGGTTCAAACCCACGCTGCAGCCAGACACAAAGAGCCGACAAGCAGCTACAGAGGAGCCAAGGAGGAGAGGGCGCACCTGGAGGTCCTGGAGGAGAATCCCATGTCCCCCTCCTCCAATGCAGCCTCGCCCTGCTCGAGCAAGTCCCGGCCCATGTCTCCAGGGGATAAAGGCAGCTTTGTTACCCAGCTCACAAGTGTGGCCAAAACGGTGCTCGGGCCTATGAAGGAGGGGGGGAAGGTAAAAGACGCCTCCAAGTCAAGTGAGGAGAAGCGGGGAGGCGCAGCGGGGAAAGCAGAGGCTTCGACTGGGGGAGTCCGCCGGGGGGCTCAGACAGCAGCCGGTGCCGGTACGCTCCAGTCTGATAAAGGAAACAGTCGCAGCTCCAAGCATCACTCATGATCAGAGGAGCTGCACAAAGAGTGAGACTCTCCCATGTAATGCCTTTTACTGTAGCATCACACCGACATATCATGACTTTAAAAGACGGGAAGACGTAAATGCCTGAAGAAAAAAAACAAACAAACAAAAAACACCAAAAAGATGACATGTAGACAAACAAGATGTGAACAAAGATGCATCTGTTGGAAAAATGTGTGCACATGGTGTCCCAACGTAGAGCTGTGTATGTTCCGTATGTTCATCACGATATGTTGTAAATAGTCGTACGTCTCAATGCATGTTTGACACTGTACATGGAAAAAAAAAATATTTAAAAAAGGAGATGAAAAATATACAGCAGACCTTAAGGTAGAAAACACTGTGAACAACTTTTCAACCGAACACACGCCAACTCGCGCGTCAACAGGTAGGATTCTGTTATAAATGGGCATTACTCACGTTTCAGATCAGCTCTAGTGCCATCGTTTAGTTCAACACATTTCCTTCGTGTTCAGTTGCTACAAAGTGGATCAGATTTTTCGTAACATGCACTGAATAATACAACAAACATACTGGAAACTGGACCAAGATACCAAAACGCTTGGAAACGGAGAGTGGATCAGCTTCAGATCTGTCTAAGGGCTGAATTTCAGTGGGATTGAAAGAGGTAAATGAGATGAACTTGCACAGGGACACTATGCAATGTGCTAACGATGCCACTTTTTTTCGGTGTCCCCAAATTACTACGTTTACATTGTGCTCGAGGCAAGAGGGGGAAAAAAAATAGGGGGAAAAGGGTCGCAATAAGCCAAGCAAACACATTTTGTTTTCCGCTGATCATAGTGAAATGTGCAATTATGTATTCTAGGCTGTTAAGTGCGTATATAAGTGTGCTGGGAGGGTCATAAAGAGGCATAATGAAAGCAGCACTTAGAGGAGAGTTCGCTCTTTCATTCGTTCTTTTTCTATTTATGCAGAAGTACAGTTTATTGTTTCGTGTGAAGGAAAGTGCCAGTGTTTTTCTTTGTTTTTTTAAATTTTATTTAGGGATAATGTGAAGTTTTTTTTTGTACTTACATGTACAACAATATGCAATCCAAGAGTGCCCAGTTCCACGAAACAGAGCCTCCTCCTCCGTCAGTGAGTCGAGAACACACCAAGCCAGGAGTAGAACCGTCAAGAGCATCTTAGCAGTGAAGGTCTTACTTGTTGTTGTGTGTTAAAATGATCTTTTTGGGACATCAGGCTACCAGACCTGTCTTAGACTGCCACCTTGTGGACCACGCCGTACGGCACCAGAGGTACAAAGAAGGATTAGTGTACATTTTCTATGTAGTCTGACGTAGTTCGCCTGTAGATCTTCCCAGTTCACACGTCATAATTCTGATGCATTCGATGATGAACACGTTTAGACCAGATGAGTTTTACAGTCTTATCCGTCACGATGTAGTGGTTTAAAGAGACATTAACCCAATGTTTGGACTTTAAACACCAGTGGTTTTGTGTGTGTGATGTGAGAAAATTGCACTTTATGTTGTGTCAAATATTTTTATTTACTTCTATATTTCTATTTTTTTTTATTTGTTATATTTATTAAACTTGTTTTATTTATTGGAAAAAATTTTTGTCATTTTGATTCATGACTTTTACATCTTAGATGAAGAGAAATCTACCAAAACCTGTGTGGCTACCCCCCATCTTGTGCAGTTTTCCATGAGTCTCAAGTTGTGATGTCGCCGTCACGTCCATCTTTGTCCAAGTGTTTGACTTTCTACAACAACTGTAACTCTGACTGTTGTTGTCCATTAGCCACTGTTGTGAGAAGAAAAGAAAAGAAAAAAACAATGCAAAAAAGCCTATAGTGCAGAGATGTAATAAAAATGCAGAGAAACCCTCAGCTTGTGTGACTGCTTTGGTGTCAAACAGCATCACTGAACATCCACACGCCTGATCGAGGCTCGCTCGTGATTGGCCCTCCGTCGACCAATCACAGCGGGGGCCGACACGTGACCAGTATAAACAGGAAGTAAATGCAAATTCGCTGATCTGCTCGGTGTCCGAGGAGGTCGAAGAGCGAGCAGAAGTGACAGCAGCAGAGCGAAAAACACACGAATATCTCCAGTAAACGTATTCAGGGACTCTCTCTGATTAACGGAGACAGAATGAGGATGGTACAATGAAGGTAAAAGTCCGTATTGATGCGTAAATTAAAGACGTAGCCCGCAGTGGCCACCGCTGTCTCTGTAATAGCAGGGGGATGAAATGTCTGAAATAAAAGTTGTATTTTATTATTTTAAATCAGGCAACTGGTCACACTTTTTTTTTTAATCACTAGAATTTTTTAGAAAGCACGTAGTTCATTGTAAACTGTTCGAAATTGAAGTTTGTTTGTTTTTTTAAATTTGAAACAACTCAGAAGAAACATGTCCCATTACCATAGAGTCACATCCAGGGAAGAGTTCACCTTTTACGTTCCTAATTTTGTTTCGGTATTTTTTTTTAATACGAAATTGGCTTTGACATACTGATGAAGATTAAAATTTATCCAAATATTCTTGATTTTATTACACTCATTGATAACTAAGTACATGTATTTCAGCACTGTATGAAGGTTTTTACGCTGCTTGATGCTTTTAAAGTCACACAGTGATAGATTTAACCCCTAAAATCTCCTCTCTGTGTGTTAAAGTTTCATATTTAGAAGTTTTTCTCATATAAATAATCCCAACCTACCATCAGTGACACAGGTTTGATACCAGCCTGGGACCTTTCCTGCACATCATTCCTCCTCTTAGCCCTTCCTGTTCGGCTGTTCTTGTAAAATTAGGGCAACCAAAAACTATTTTTAAAAAAACTGAAGATTAATCCTGCTCAGCATCAGTGTGTCATTGTGAGCATGATAGCAGTGTGGATGTGGTTAGAGTTTAACGAGTCCTTCTACAATGATTCTACAAACTCATTCCTGGGCACCAAAATTACCCATTTAACCTTTTTTTTAATTAAAAAAATAATTTCTTCTTGCCTTAAAATGGCTTAGATGAAACTCTGCATCATTACCTCCTTTAAAATGTGCAGATCCATGAAGTCCCTGCCTCTCTGTTCGTTCCCTACTAGCTTCAGCTTGAGCCCAGCTACTCATCTACAGCTCTGCTCAAATACCAAAACTAAATCTGTTACATATGAAACCCCGAGAATCTGTGTTTTTGAGACTGATGTCAGTACGCCACGGTTTCAAAGCTGAAAAGTGTCAGTGTGTTCCAGCATATAAAAAACACCAGACGGACAGTTGCGAGGTAGAATGTGATTTTTAACCCTGCCTTTTTAACCCTTATGTTTAGCTGTCTACAGTGCCTAGTTAGTTTCCAGATTGATAATTAAGTTTTAAAACTGTGTAGTAATCTCATAGAATGCAGTGAGTTTCCAACCTTTTCAGTCTGTGACACCATACAGACCTGTACATTGTTAGATAATCCATCCATCCATCATCTATACACCGCTTAATCCTCACTAGGGT